ATGCCCCCTGCAAGGAGCCGGGCAGGGCGGTGGGCAGGGGCCGTGCGGGCTGCGGCCGGTCCGCCCAAAGGGCAAGCGCAGCCCTGGCACAGCGCTCGGTGCCTCCTCCCCAGGGTGCGTCCGGCCGTGGACAGCAGCGCACGGATGCCTCGGCTTCAGCTGCGGGCTGGATCAAGCCTCCCCTCCCTGTGCTCCCCTCCGGCTTACCCACGATGGCCCCCCCAACAAATGCCATCAGCAGGGACACCACAATGCCGGCCGCCTGGAACCCTCCTTGGATACTGGGTGTCCGCGCCCGGTACACGCCGGTGAAGTCAAACGCCTTGATGAACCTGCCGGGGGCAGAAATGGTGATGATTGCCCCTGGCAGGAGACATTCCCTGGCTCCAGAGGTACCATGTTGCCCTGCTCTCTTGGGAACTCTTCCCTAGCCCCATCCCTCCTCTGCTGTGGACCATGAGAGCGTTGTGCAGTGACCAAAACGCAGCTCACCTCCTTCTCTGAGCCCTGGCAAAACTTTGCTAAGGAGGAACTCAAAATACAAATATTCACTTTGTATTTCAGACTTTTAGCCTTACCTGACCCCGTAAAACAATGTGGGAAGAGAGAGAACACTTTCCTCCCCACTGTGGCCCAGAATAACACTTCATGAGGCCACCCAGAGTCAGCTGCATAAACTGGGGCTACAATTCATTAAGCCCAACACAGTCAGTGCACCCCATGTTTATGAGGGACATCCCTGGGCAACTCTGAATTATTAACAAAAGCTGTTAATTGCTCCCTGCTCCCAGCCCACAGAGCCTCAGGTAAAATCTATTCTCAGGGGAGATTTTCAAGCCATCTTACCCTTCCTTTCCATACACATCCTCTGTGGCTGCAGCTGCTGTGATGGCCCCCACAATGCCCCCAATAAGGCCTGGCATGGCATGGAGGTTGTGGATGCCACATGTGTCCTGAATGTGCAACCTAGACTCCAAAAAAGGCTGAGGGGAAGCGAAGTAGAGAGACATCAGGGAGTTGAGTGTGGCCCTGCAAAGGATTAGTTCCTTCGGTGCAGGACTGAGCAGAGAAAGAGGAGTGATACTGTGTCCCATTAAAGAGCGAAATGTTTCTAGACAAAGATGTGAGCCAAGCTCAAAATAAACTAACATATCCTCCAAACACGCTCCTGTTGGGAGTCTGAAACTTCCTGAGCATTTTGGGGCAGTAAAAGGAGCCAGAAGTGCATCTCATAAGGGATTCTGGAAAGCAGGAAGTCAATCAAAGGGAAGTCAATCCATTTCTGGTCTCCTCAGCAGGACCAGGGCTGCAGACCCCTCGAGCAGCACTCACCGTGAAGTAGACATACCCCACCGTGGACACGATGCCAGAGATGGACCCGACAATGAGGGAGCCGTATGGAGTCAGCATCATCTCGGCGCTGGTGCCCACGGCCACGCCGCCGGCCAGCGTGGCATTCTGGATGTGGACCTGCAGAACCAACCGCCCTGCCTTGGCATCTCAGGGAGATTGCAATTGCTCAGGGATGGTGCAAATGGCAAAGTGGGAGAACCGGCTCTGAAAATGTTTCCAGAGGAAATATCAGGGCCCATTTTCCTACTTGGTGGCAAAAAACAAGAAAAGAACAGGCAGCTTCTGGCTGTAGCACAGGTGCACATAGACTCCCACTCCCCGTACCACACACGTTCTTTGCATCCACAGATATGGGTGGGGAGTTGTGATGAGATGGAAATTGTCTCACCCGTGTGTCATGCAAGCTCTGCTGTCACAGAGACATGTCACCCACACATCTAACACGTACAAGTCAGCCCCCCGATTGCTCACGAGCTGCTGCGCAGGCCTCGTTTGATGGGGAGTGCTGCCAAAGTGAGCTCTGCATCACACCTAGCAGAGCAAGCCCAGCCCCTGCTGTGACTTGGGTCCACCACAGGTAGGGCATCATCCCACACCTCAAGTCCTGCAAGAGCCATTCCCACTTTCTTATTCAGTATAGCCTCAGAGTTTCTGCCTGGATGCTGGTTTCATCATCATGCCCTGAAACCATGTGTCTGTTCAGCAAAGTACAAGTGCCAGTTGTTCCCTGGACCCTTGATCAGCCTCATTATACGTCCCCTGGGCTCTCTGCTCCCATCTTACCATGTCAAGCTTGCCCTTCTTTTGCAGCATGCTGGAGAAGGCCATGGTGGTGAGGACACAGGCGGCCAGCGAGCAGTACGTGTTAATGGCAGACCGGTGCTGGGCATCCCCGTGATCAGAAATGGCTGAGTTAAAACTGGGCCAGTACATCCACAGGTACAGGGTACCTGGTAGGATAGGGCAGATGGGATGAGGAAGAGAAAGGGAAAAGAGAAAAAATAGGGACTGAAAAAAAAAACCAACTTTAAAAAAGGTATTTCTGCACAGGGGAATTTACATCCCATAGTCCTGCTTCCCCAGATCCACACCCTGCATGATGAGACCAACATCAGGAAAGGCTGGCAGAGAAAGGGAACCAAAATGCATCCTTATCTTCCCTAGCACCATCTCAGCCCAGCCACTGATGAAGGGAGCTGAGTAACTCTGAAAGGTGAAAGACCTCTGGGATACAGAGCTCCTCAACTCCATATCCTGGCTTCAGTTTTTCCCAGAGACACAGGAGGACCCAGCCCTCCGTGTGGAGTGGTCCCCATGTAGCAGCACCCCGAGATGAGGGCTGACTCACCGATCATGGCAAAGAGGTCAGAGTGGTACACAGAGCCCTGCTTGTCCTTACTCTGCTCCAGGTTGGGTCTGTACAGGACCCGAGTCACCGTGAGACCAAAGTAGGCTCCGAAGGTGTGAATGGTCATGGAGCCACCTGCATCCTTTACCTGCAGCCATGGGAAAACAGGTTTGCTTCTGCAATTGCCACTCATTCTAGAGCTGAGGCCTGATTTGCATCGTGCCCAGCTTGACAGAGGGACCCAGTGCTCCTGAATTGCCAGGCTTATGTGTAAAACCCCAGAAGATCTCCCTTCTTCCCCTCCCAGGGAAGTATGGCCCACTGCCCCATCTGCCTACTTTTGCTGTGTGAATTCTTGCATTTTAAATGCTTATGAAGGCAGTGGCTTGGAGCCATAGCAAAGGGAGATAGTTTGGAGAGGTGCAGAGAAGAAGAAGCAGAACAAAGCAGGTACTACCTAAAGCCTTACATGAAGAAGGTTGAGGAGGATGTACTCATTCACTGAAAAGAGTGTGACTTGAAACAAAGTCATGACAAGGAGCTGTATGGGGCTGGTTTTGCCCAGGATGGCCCCAAAGGCAATGCACACAGAGCCCACGCAGAAATCAGCATTGATCAGGCTGGAAAAGGGGAAGAAAAATTGAGGTTTAATAAGGAAATACTCTGTAAATCGCTCTCACCTACCCCCAGCTCTAGAGATCACACCTGAAGACAAAGAGGTGATTAAGAGACATCTCTGGATTTCCCACTGACCTTCCTCCCATCCTTACAGCCCCACATGATTCAGGTAATGTGGGTGATACGTGTTCTCAGCACTGACATCCCTGGTGCCTGGCTTGGCACTCAGGGGTGACACTCACCTCGTTTCCCTCTGAGCAGTACCACCCCAATGGCAGGTACCTTTGGACTAAAAGGTGGAAAGCAAGTGGAAGTATGTAGAGGGAGAACAACAGTTTAGAGACTGATTTGTATTTGACATTAGCGAGGGACAGGTGTTGCCAACTGCTTGGCTCTCATTCCAACTCTTCCACTGGCCAGAGGTGCCATCCTAGAGCCCAGCTCTTCCTTACTTCTCCACTCCAATGAGGATCTTCCCATCCTTGAAAGAGTGGAACCAGCCTTGCATCAGGAGAGCCCACTGGATCCCAAAGGCAGCAAGGAGGAAATTGAAACCCACAGCTCCGAATCCATAGCGCTTGAGGAATGTCATGAGGAAGCCAAAGCCCACAAAGATCATCACGTGGACGTCCTGGAAAGCTGTGCAGAGGGAAGGGACTGTCAGCTCTGCGAGGACAGCAGGGCTGCAAGTGCCACGTGCATTTGGTGTTGAAAAGGGACTAATTACATAAGTAGCAGTAGGGGGGAAATTCAAGAGAAAATGTGTGTTTGCCTCATGTCCCCATGTTTCTACGTCTGAAAATGGCTCAGCTTTTGGAAACTGGTTTTTGGTTAAAAGGCTCAGCCTTTAAAGTAAATGTTTACTAAAAGCTTTGTGCAAAAGAAGACCTGAGAGTAATGGAGTGTATAGAGGAAAACATTTTTCTATTCAGATTGTTTTTTCCCCTTTCGTAAGGGGAAAACACAATGAAATGTTTTTCAAAAAACATTGTGTGAAATGAACAGTCAAGTTGTGTTAAGACATGTAAATGGTCATTTTGGGTAGGTCCATTCAGTACAAGGTCCTGGTGAGAGCAGGGAGAGCACAAGAACAAGGAAAGTTTACAAATACATTTTTAAATGCTTTGGAAATCAGCAGCAAAATACCCTTGAGACCAGAAACCCACCTTGTGAGATTTTTAGTGCTTAAACCAGAGCGACCCAGTTCTTCCCACTAATGGTCAGACCTGCTCACCTGAGCCCCTCAGATGCCCTTCCCCGGGGGAAACCAGATCTGTGTGAGCCTCTTGAAAGACCTTCTTGGTGCAGTAAACCTGCTGTACTTTTTAATGCTGCACGTTTCTATCAGATAAGCATTGCTTTGCAATTAAGTGAGCTGAAACACTTGCATACTTATAAATTGAACCATGCAAACCCTCACATTGCAGGCCAAGACCCAAGGCTGGGATCCCCCCAGGGAGACTCCCACCAGCAAACCCATGCTGCAGATAAATACAGCAGTGATGGAGCTAAACCAGAATGTTCTGCATTTTGCTTTGCACAGATCATTATAGCCACTGTATCCAGCAAAGTCTCAGAGAGTGTGTAAGCTCAGGGCAAAGGAAATTCTGTGGCTGTAAGTCTGCTCTACCCTGAACTTGTGCTGAAATCCATCAGCCTCTGGTCCATTTCAGCGGGGCTTGTGTCTGCTGCTTCCACTGAGGGCTGGTGATGACTTGTGTGAAGAGCAGCTCTGCAGAAGCTGAGAGTTTTATCCTTTTGTATTTAGAAGACGTTGCAACTTGTTTAAGGATGAACATTTCCAGGTTCAAGCCATGTAGTACCAGGCTAATCTGATTGCTTTTGAAAAATGCCCCCCATGCCTGTGAAATCACTCTTTAAAAAGGAAGGAGACGGGATCTGCAGCTGGCACTGTTCAGCAGAGGTCACTTCAAAAGCCCTTCTCCACATGTCCTAAGAACCAGTCTTACTGTGGTTTTACCACACAATCCCGTAGACTTTTCCTCTGCAACTGTATTTATTTCCCCTCTCTTTTTTCCAGTGAAAGCCGCATACATACAGCTAGATTTATCTGCTGCCATTTGCATTGTATATTCATTCTTTCATCCTAAAAACAGAACTACACAGGTCAGAGTTAAAGCTGTGGACTCTATGCCTTCCAAAAACCCAGAGGATCCCGTGTGTTAGACCCTGTATGAACTCAGGAGGAAGAGCAGATCTTTCTTTAAACCACATCCAAATCTAAAACCTTTTTTTAACCCTCGCCTTTGTTTTCCCTTAGTAAGAATAACATTGTTAGCACTCAGAGGCAGCACAGGCATTGCCATGCCCTAAAGGTTTCATAAGCCTGCTTTTGTGGCAGGACAATTGCCATAACTACCAAGAGGAAGTGTTTGGGCTTTGGGAATGCTCTCTGAGACAAAAAAAAAAATCTCATTTCTTTTCCTCTAGAGAGCAGATGAGTCACTGATTACAGAATACTCATGTGCAATCCAAAATGAAAAGGAATGTGCTCACTGACTGGACCTGGAAATGGGCACCACTGACACAACCAAATATTGGCTTCCTGAAGCCAGGACAACTTCCCTCTGCCTGTCTTCCCAATCTTCTCTGGCTTGAAGAACCTGTTTGCCTGTCACTCCCATCCCTCTGCCATTGCAGACAGCTGCTGTGGACAGCAGTGGTCACAGATATGTTGGTACAAATGATCTTCAAGTTCTGAGCACTGGACAGACACAAGGGTTAAAATGTCAGGGCTTGGCCACCTTACGTTTGTCCATCTTTGCAGGGAGAGAATATTTCTGATTAGATAAGGGAGAAAGAACAGCTGTGCTTTTGGGCACGTGAGCCCTTCCTCAGGTCTGAAAAAGAAACATAATTCAAAGCTAAACTGAGCAGTTGCCCTTAGATTGATTTAGTTGTGTTGAATCCATCCTGCTATTTGAGAGGGAATATTTGGCACTGCAGAGCTGGAGTGGGATATGAGGACAGAAGAGATGTCACTTCCTTAGCTCCCACACACTCGTTCTTGGACTCCTGATGTCCTCCCAGCACACCAGTGACAAGAGCAGCCCTCAGGCACTGCTGCTGCTTCACACCAACCTGTGTGGGGCTGGTCCCAAAGGCAGATGTCCAGGGAGAGCCCAGGGCAGCCATGACCATACATGAACCTGGAGGCTGACTGAGCAGCGGGTTTGTGTAAGCAAATCCTTTTCTGAACTAGCTAATCCTCAGCAGCCACAGGTTGCTATAGCTCCTTTGATTTAGCAGGTGTTTTTAATGGAAATGTTCTAAATAGATGCATGACTCAGGCCTGTTGCTTCCTTGGAAACAATTGCCTACAGAAGCAGCCTGTTCTGAAAGGCTCACAAAGATGACCAACCCTGGAGATCAAAGCCACCCAAAGGCACTGTCTGGCCACAAGAGCTTTAACCTTCTGAATAATTTCTGTGTCACTACGACGCAGAGACCCAAGAACCCTGGGAACCTGGTGGCTTAGGAGGACTCTGGCACTGAAATGCCAGTAGCTAAAGGGTAATTCACAAGTGAGGGGGTGGACGGAGGAAGAGGAGGAAGATGTCACAGGATCTCGACAGCCGTTCCTCTGTATGCAGAGAAAGGCTTGCTCTGATCCAGAGCTGAGGGAGGGGGCAGCAAGCTGAATCTTGCAGAGTGTTGGGAACACGTCAGCCCTATTCCTGGAAAAAAGACGTCACGGTACCCTGCTGACAGAGCCCCAAGGCACCGGAGGGCCACGAGGCTTTTCTCTTGCTCTTTGGTGAATCCCAAGCCAGCCTCAAGGCAAGAGCACAACTTTCTAGCAATCAGTGGAGACAGCGCCTCTGACAGGCTCTGCCACAGCACAGGATAGGATGGATGGGATGGTTTGGGTTGGGATGGCATGGGTTGGGATGGGATGGATGGGATGGATGGGATGGATGGGATGGATGGGATGGATGGGATGGATGGGATGGATGGGATGGGGACCAGGCAGCACAGGCATTAGGCTTCCAGAATACTCACAGGGGTATCGGAAGTAGAAATCGTTCTCTATGTCACTGGTCAGGTTCATCTCTCGTTTCTCCTCCTCCCAGTGCGCATCAGCTTCGGCGCCGAAGCGCACGAAGACTCCAAAGAGGACGATCATGGCCACCTCCCAGAGGAGGCACACGAGCGGGAGCCGCCAGCGCATGTTTGTGTTCTTGGCCATGCCTTGGTGCTCAGCCTCTCCACCCGGGGGGACTGAGCGAGCCTGTGTCCCCACGCCCGCCCAAGGCTGGGCACATATATAGGTCGGAGAGGGCGAGGTGGGGCCCAGGGAGGTGCCTCCGGCAGGATCACATTTCAGACCACTGGAGCTTCAGCAGGGTTGTTGCTCTAACCCACCTTCCTCCCTGAGAGGAGAGACAGGCTTCAGCACCTTTCCTCTGAGCTGCTCCGAGCACCTTTGAGCCCTGCCTCCACGGGGACGAGCAGATGTGGAGGCCAGTGTGACTGGGGAGTGGAGCCAGAGTGTCCAGCCCCCTGCTCTGCCCAGTCCCACACCCTTTCCCTGCCCCTGGCAGGAGCACCCTGATCCTGCTGTCCCCTCCCTCCTGGCTCACAGTGCTCCCCTCGCCTCCCTCCCCAGCTCTGAGGTTGCCCTTCCCCAGCTGGAACTGTGGGTGAAGGCAGGGTGCCCTTCGCTCCAGCTCTTGGCGTTTGGAAAAGCAGCTGAGGTGCAGAACAGGAGAAAGAGGAAGGTGTGCGCTTCAAACCAGGTACCAAGATCCTGCATGAGTGCACAGACACGTGAAGGCCCCGCCAAGGCTGTAAGGATGTTCAAGTGACACATGTTCCACAATTTCCCAAAGTGATTTACCCAGAGCATCCTCCTGGCAAGGCAAACTGAGCTGGGGCTGCATAACCAGGGCAATACTGTGAAATGGTGCTGGAGGCCTAAACATCCCCTCCTCTGGTATGGTTTTCCTTTAATTAACAAACATAAACACAAAACTCCATTTTTCCTACCGGTTTGAATTATGTTCTCTTTCCCCAAAGAGCCGGGTAAGTCCTTCAGATGGATCACATCTCCTTCCTCTGCCTGCAGATCCCTGGGTTGCCTGTCAGTCTTCAAGAGATGAAAGACTGCAGCCCAGGCAAGCTGCCCAAATTTGCTGATGGCATCTAATTGTGGCCCGCAGGCTGAGCAAGCAGCACTGATTTTGGTGTTGATTAGGCAATAATTTGAGTTTATTATTTTTTCTTGTGTGCTTTCTTCTCAAAATGACAGATGGCAGAAAAATGCTGTGGATGGTCTTGAAGAGACTGACGGCCACACAAAATCATCCTCCAACCTCATTTGAACCCCGTGCAGGCAGCAGGATAGAGACAGCGTTGGGAAGAAGAGAGAAGCCCATCTGCCTTAGCCCCTACCCTGCATGAGCAGAGCTCCACGTGACTGGGGTCACTTTTTGGGGACACCTAAAGCAGGGGGATGTTGCTGTTGTCTGAAGGACGAGCTCCCCCTCCAGCAATGCTGCTCAGGGTGTGTTTTTGGGTCTCCCATTACACAGGGGTTCTGCAGGGCCATCTCAGCCGTACACACCCGGATACAAAAGATCTCCAGCTAGAAAGAAGCTGAAATCCCCAAACAATAGGTGATCTCTAATTGCTGGAACACTGTTGACAGTTGCATGTTTTTATGCCAGCTACGTGGTAAGACCAGTATTCTGCCCTACCCTAGAGCAGCCCTTAGACACCTCAAAAAAGGCAGCACAGAGGAGCATTTTAAAACAAAAGGGAACTTGCTTAGGTACTGTAGCCACCAGCAGCTAGACTCTGTGATTATTCTAGCAAAAGAGTAGCTGCAGAGCTTTTCTAATCTATGGCATCACTGAAATGGCAGTCTCCAGAAAAGCAGATTGGAAAGCCCTTGTGCAGACCCCACCTGCTGTCTCCAGCCCCTCTCCTCGTGTGTGGAGGCCAGGAACAAAGGCTAATGGCTTTTCTGCTGCCTGATAGTCTCACCTTGCTGCACTGCCTGGCGCTGCCCCTCCTTATCAACCTGCAGATCAGCACTTTGTCACTGCATCACATCAGGGCTGGCATGCTCCACTGGCTGTCCATGCTGTGAGAGCCCATTAAAGGACCAGCTTCTCTCCAGGCTCCTTTTCAGGGCCAGGATAACACTGGGAAGGCAGATGGGGCTGTGCCAGCACATGTGTGTGCAGCAGTGCTGGCAGAGCACTTCCTGTGATGGGTTAGACCACCATTGCATCCACCCTACATGTGGCAGGACATGCAGGCCAGGTTTCACCATGCCTCAGTCACAAAGGTGCTTCAATGTCCTGTTGGAAACTTCAGGCTAGTGTGAACTTCCTCCACCACAGAATTTTGCCCATCATGTCCAGCACCTGTAAGAGTTGCAAGGTTTTTCCAGAAAGTCACTGGGATGATGCTGAGGGAGAAGGAATGTTTGCCTTTCTGCTTAAGAGATGTGGGACCAGGTCTAGCAGTGTTTAGATCTAACCCAGATCTAACCCAGATCTTAGTTACCTTGGGTGAGGGTTGTACAGTACTGGTCCCAGCTGGGTCTCTCCCAGTTTCTCACTTTTATGAGCACTAAAAATATTTGAAGATGTAGAGACAAAATCTAAAGCACAGAATTCCTTCCCTCTTGCCTGGAGGCCTTGGGGCAGCTTCACCCTGATGGGAGGGAATGGGTGCTCCCCAGAATCTTGGTCAAAGCAGCCACTACCAGTAGTCTTTGGGCACCTGGGGTGGAGAAGGCACTGGAGAATGAGGATTTGGGGAGTCTTGGAAGCCTTGATACAGCACAAGTGAGACTCTGGGCATTGCCCAGTATCAAAGATGACTTGTTGCTTGTGCAGGTCTTTGAGGAGTGACCTGAAAGCAAAGCATCTGAGACAATACCAGATTTTTTTTCAGGCTGATTCAGCAGAAAGGCAAACAAACTTTCCACTGGGGCAGGACAGAGTGGTGGTATGAGGGGAGATCAAACAGTTCATTTAGGTTTGGGCTTTCTCATCCCTTTTTTCAGCCCCCACTATTAAAGTATCCTTTGGAGATAAATGTTGGAAACGGGACAAAATGAAGCAATAGTTTTTTAAGTTTAAAAAAAAAATAAATCTTATCTGGATCAAAGAGACAACCACACGTGAGCCAAATTTACAAATTATTTTTCTTATGCCCTCTCCTTCCTTCCAAGAAACAGCATTTATTAGCAAGTAAATGATTGTCCAGAAAGAACCCAAGGACTGTTTGAGAGGGAAGTCGGTGTCCTTGTGGAGCAGGCAGAGAGGACAAATGTCTGTGAAAACAGCACAAACATGGGACAGCACAGGAAGCAGAGGCGTGTGAGCAACTCTGGCTCTCACACTGGGAACACACCATCACCTGGGCTCAGCCAACACCTCTTCTGGCTTTCCCAAGAGCTGGATAGGCTTCCAGAGCAAATACACTGTAGTAGGCAGGAAAGGAGAAGGAGTTTGGGTAGCTAGCAGCAGTTCCCATGTTGGAAGCTGTCAGACTCTGCTGGGAAACTCCCCTTTGCCCTGGGTTTGTTTCGGGTCCCAGGTGGACTGTGATAAGGCAGGTTTTGGTCACACTCTGCTAAGTGTCCTCGTGGACTGCTGGGACAGATGCCAGTGGTTGGACAATGGCAGTGACATGGTGTGGCTGGCTCTTCTTCAGGGCTCAAACAGCAGAGAGATGTCAAGCAGCAAGATGTCAGTCCCTGGCCAGGAGAAGGGAGCCCACAGCCCCAAGGCTGCCCTCTGCCCTCTGCCCTTTTCCAGGGAGACCCATTGTCCTTCTCTTGCTCTTGGTGGCAGGTTATTCCCACCCACCCAAGTGGATCAGCTCCTGGTTCCAGCCCATTAAATCCACTTGTGTTCACAGTCACCAGCAGAGCCGAATGGGCCGTTTAGTGCCCGCTTGTCTTTGTTGCTCTATAAATACATCTGGTGACACTGGTTTGGGCTGGGCCATTCAAGCTCTGGAGGTGAGCATGGAGCAGACACCTGGGTGGCTCTGCTCTGTGGGGATTCCTCTGCCTTTACCTGCTGTGATCACACCTTGATCACTGACACTATGGGGTAAGATGTCCTTCAAGCCCTGCAGGGAGGGGATTTTCCTGGACAAGGCAGCTGATGACAACCCAGGGTCTTCCACGAGCATCAGCCCCTGTCCAGGTGCCCTGACCCTACACCTTTTCATAGAATCGTCAAGTTTGGAAGAGATCTTTACAATCAAATCTAGCCAACAACAGATCATTATCACTGTAACCCCCTAAACCACATCACCCAGTGCCAGATCCAGATGCCTCTTGGACACCTCCAGGGATGGCGACTTCACCATTTCCCTGCCCAGCCTATTTCAATGCTTGACCACTCCAACAGTATGTTTTATTTTTTTGTAATATGTAATCTGAATTTGAATCTGAATTTAACCCATACGGGCCCGGGGCTGTCCCTGCTGTTCTCCAGGGAGGCTCGGGGAGGAGGATGCTGTGTCGGCAGGACCCTCCGGGCAGGTTCTGTCTGCCGCTGTCCCTGTCCCTCCTGCCCGCGGGCGGTAGCGGGGATGGAGAGGTGCCGCTGGGCGGGCAGGCGCGGACCTCTAGCGGCACTGGAGGAGCCTGCCCGGGTGTTGGCTGGGCAGGACCGGGCCGGGGTCGCGGCTCGGCCCCGGGATCCCGCCCGGCCAGCGCTGCCACCGCCGACCCGGTGACGTCATACCGCAC